ACACACACACACACACACACACACACACACACACACATAATAAGTTTTTATTAATTCAAAGGGCCACTTATAATGTTTTGTTTCAAGGCCGTCAGGTTTTTGTCTCTTTGCATAGAAGTGCTCTTTGCATAGAATATAAATGGTAATTTAGTTAGGAAAACATGGAAATTGTCTTTTTTATCCTATTGTTGGTCATATATGTTTGCTTGAAATAAACCTTTGAAATAACTGAAATAAATTATTTTGTAACTGTAATGTGGAACTACTTCAAAGCTGTAATCAAAAATAAATTGCACACCCTAAAACGTTTGTCAACCAATCAGAATCAAGCATTTAATGGCACAATATGTAAGATTGTTTCATTAAAATATCCAAGAACCACTAGAACATTGTAATATATTTTGCTGACTTGTGTACTTACATTATCCCAAATGTTTCGAAGAATGTTTAAATCCAGAGAAATAAGCAATTTTAACTAGTGACACGGACCGTGTCTATAGTGTCATTGTGTCGTCTGCCAATGACGGCATAACCCCTCGATTTCCGGTTTTGTTTTGTAGAAAACATGGAAACACCAAAGACGCTTTAATATGTTGTGTGTTTTAATAGACCGGTGACGACCGCACAGAGTAGCATTATAACAGAACGTTCAAATGTATCTAGTATAATAAAACAGCGCTGCTTTACCCCACATACGCACGACCAGAAGGAGCGGAAGCGGTTGACTGTGGCATAATAAAAGCTCTGCTGCTTTCGAGCCGTGTGTCACGCTTGTTCAGCGGCCTCATTTCGCTTCGACGGCTTTCAGCCTCACCCTGCTTCATTCTACTACGTTAATAAATCATTAGCTCATCCATGAACATGATTTCTGCCCGAGTTCCGTCGGATTGCATCGGCTGTGGGGACAACAACTCCCATGATTCAACACTCAGTCACGGCGTCATCAATCAAACTACGCCTTTGTCTCTTTGTTTATTTTGAATACGCACCCTCTAGCGGTGAAAATTACATATTGTGCCTTTAACAGCCTCATAGTATAAATATATATGCATATATAAAATCATAAAAATCATAAATCAAGTTAATCACATAGTCACATGTACGTATTGATGTTTTTGGTGGTAACTTGGACTATCAGCCAAGGCTGTATAGCTGTTTCCCACCGGCTCTCAGCTCTGGGTGTGTGCCACATGTGTTTAACATATCAGATATTGGACAATAGGGGCTTGTTATGTGATACATGTTGTAAGAACTGTGTGAGAAAATCACATCACACTGTTTCAGTTCACTTTCTGTACATTTACGACTCAACCCCCCTCTCTGTGTAATCAGTGCCTTCACTTAGAGAGGAATGCAGGCACTATGAAAGACATGATCTCATACATAAAGCCTCAAAGGCGCAAGATTTTTTCAGAATTATTTTTTAGTACATTAATAATGAATTATAGTCATTATCATTTAATACGGATTGAATGAGAGAGAGGATTGACTCATTCTCTTTATTTTAGTCACGTACAAAAGATTTTATTTGCATTTCAAATTAGCCATTATTATTTAATAAATATGATTAAATCTAAATTCACATCTAAATTAACTGGTTATATTCAAGTTTACAATATTATTTAACAGCACTGAATCAACATAAATATATTCTATTATACCAACAACAACAAAAATAGCGCTTTATAATAACAATCACATGTTGCCACTTTTTACAGTGTCAGTACAGGGGCAAAATAATATAATCTTGATCTACGTTATCGCATGTTGTGCACATTCTATTGTGTTGATGATAACAAAGGCGACTTTGTCAGATTAAGTGCAAAACTGAAGTGTTGGTGTCTTTGCAGTCTCAGATTTATAAGAACACTTTTTTGAGACTCTAGTTACTAGCACAGTTTGTTTTGACTTGATATTTTGTGCTTTCATTTCATTTTACTTATGTTCTCATTTTTGTTAAATGTAGGCTTACATTTTAAAAGGAAAAAAAAATAGTAAAAGTTACTAGTAATTTTCTGCCAGGACATTATCCGTTAAGTTTACAGATATTTACTTTAACCGCGAAACACAACATAATGCAATGCATAATTCAAAATATGAGTAAAACATCTGTTAAAATCAATGCCGAAAATTCTATCATATAGACATTTAGTATAATGTGAAAGCTGTGTCCTAAAGAAAAATGAGTTAAGAATCACGGCTGTAGATCCCTGATCCTTAATAATGTGTCTTTCCAATTCATGTGCTTGTCCTAAAATAAATCAAACTGTAGTTTCTCAATGGAGTGATCGAGTCCCACCACAGCTTGACATCACTGCATGCTTCACTTCATAAAAGAGCTGAAAACAGGTTCTTTGACTGCTGGGACAGTAAGGATGATATGCTTGTGACTCTATAATGGCAAAAGTGATTTAGGAACAACTCCAGTGATAGTACTGGTGAAATAAAAGCAGAAACATGTTTTTGATATTAAAGGGTTAGTTCACCCAAAAATGAATATTATGCTGTGCTTTACTCACCCCCGAGGCATCCTAGGTGTATATGACTTTCTTCTTTCAGACAAATCCAGTCGGAGTTATATTAAAAATTGCAGTCATTGCAGTCAGCAGGTGTTGCATTGCTTCAGTCCAAAAGAAGTTAAATAAAAAGCGCACATCCATGCGCAACGCTGACCTCATACGTCATCCGCCCGGAGCTGCTTCTGTGTACAACTGTTGGCGCAAGCTAGATTAAAGTAATTATTACGTTATGAATATGGATATTTTTCTTACAAAAACGCATCGATTTGCTACACTCTTAAAAATAAAGGTGCTTCACGATGCCATAGAAGAACCTTTTTGTCTAAACGGTTCCATAAAGAACCTTTAACATCTGAAGAACCTTTCTGTTTTACAAAAGGTTCTTTGGGGCGAAAGAAGGTTCTTCAGATTATAAAAAGGTAAGAAAGAGATGGTTCTTTAAAGAACCTTTGACTGAATGGTTCTTTGTGGAACCAAAAATGGTTCTTCTATGGCATCGCTTGAAGAACCTTTTGAAGCACCTTTATTTTTAAGAGTGTACAGGAGGCCTTTGTTCACCCCCCGGAGCCGTGTGAGATACTTTTTTTAATGCATGGGCGCTTTTTATTTAACTTCTTTTGGACTGAAGCAATGCAACACCCACTGACTGCAATGATAGAGCTTGAAAGATCAAAGACAATTAATATAACTCAGACTGGATTCCTCTGAAAGAAGAAAGTCATATACACCTAGGATGCCTCGGGGGTGAGTAAAATGCAGCCTAATTTTCATTTTTGGGTGAACTAACACTTTAAGCCCAATTCCCTGAAAACAATTCAAAACTCCTTGCTTCTGACTTCTCCCAGCTCTTCTGCATTATCACAGCTGTCTTTATGTTTCCGGGGATTCTTTCTGTGTTGTCTCCAGGTATCTATTGCACTGCTTACCTCTTCTCAGGCAGAATGGTTCGCATTTTGGAGCAGAGTTCTTGGCCAGGCGAACTGGATTCTGTCGCGAACCGACTGCAAATTGAGAAAAGAGCTGTGCCATAAAGTAACGCTGCTACGTATTGTTTAAGAAAAGAAAAGCCAGAATTGTGAGATATAAACTCGTAGTTGTGAAGGGCTTTTAACAAAGAAGGAAGGACAGAGTTGAGTATTAGAAAGGGTCTTTGTTCTCTTTGAACAGAAAGAACAGCGCTCCACAAACCTGCATGTTTCACACTCAATTGAATCTCTCGTTCAGATCATTATGTCCATTCATTAGCACGGGGAGAACAGGCCAAAGCCTGCCACAAAAGCAAACACAACAGAGCAGTCTGGGAGGCCAGACGTTACACTCTACAAATAACATACTTTAGCAGGAAACTGACAATTATTTAGACTGTATATAATACTTCCCCATCTACAGTTGATTCTATTACAGGGCAAATTATAAGTCCATAAATATCTAAATGCGCTCAAAAAAAAAATAATCCGTAACACTTCAGTTTAGGGACCTATTCTCACTATTAACTAGCATGCACATTACTACCATATTGGCTATTATTATTATTATTATTAACATTAATATTAAGCATTACAAAATATTTATTTTGTTATAATTTCATTAACAAAATCAACAACTAAATAAACAAATGCAGAGCACTAATTCCTAGTATGGGTAACCATACTTGGCTACATTTCACTTCACTTCAAATATTTACGAGAAACACTTGAGGCAAACTTGATGCTCAAAGGAATAGTTCACCCAATTATTATAATTTTTTTTATAAACAGTGCTTGATCTGTGCATATTTCTCTCCTGAGTCAGATGAGACCATTTGTAGAAAACAGATATTATGGATAGAGGACTTATTTGTCTGCTGGAAACAACCGTTTGAAGTTAAAAACGTCTTAATGATTGATTTGTTTATTACAAACATGCAGTTTTTCACTTCACAAGGCACTAACTGATGGACTGAAGCGGTGTGGATTACTTGTGGATTATTGTGATGTTTTTATCAGCTGTGTGGACTCTCATTCTGACGGCACCCATTCACTGCAGAGATTGGTGAGCAAGTGATGTACTGCAACATTTATCCAAATCTGTTCTGATGAAGAAACAAAGTTTTTATGATGGCTTGAGTGTGTTAATTTTCAGCAAATTTTCATTTTTGGGGCGTGAACTATTCCTTTAAATGAAACAAACAAGTCTCTGGTAAGAGCAACCAAAGAAGCACATTGTTTCTAAGGAATAATGGAAATAATGTTTTGCAGCTTCAAAAAAAATGAGAAATTAAAAAGAAAAATCTGTTTATGATCTTAAAGAAGTGAAGATATACTCTAGCAGAGTGATTTATTGTTGCAGAAGCACATGCAGCAGTATAGAGCTGCACCTGCTGTGAACTGGGATCCTTCGGTGGAGAGGATGTAAGACTAAAGGTCAGAGGTCAGCTGTACTTATGAAGGGGGTAAAGATTAACGCATGAGATGCGAACATATCCCCAGAAATCATTAGCTCACTATGGTAAACGCCAGACGTTTTTCTACATATATGTGCTTGTGGGTAAAAAAGCAAAAGAGGGTTCAGATGGAAAGTTGGAATAAATTTTTGCGGCATCAAGCAAAGGCTTCATTCACAACATCCAGCCACAGCTGGCAGTCATTTGCTAACTGACTCCTTTGACAGCTGTGTCCTCTGGGAGTGAATTACTGGGGGCTTTTCCTTTAACACCCCATGATGCACTGAGCTCATAACCCCAGCACTGCCTCCCACAGCAGCCTTACAACACGCTGGGAAGACTCTACCTTACAGCATGAATGAAACAAAGATGTCAATAAAAGGAAACAGAAAACACACAGATATTATTTGTATTTGGAAACACAGCTGAGATGTCTATGTGAAACACTTAAAGATTCTGCTACCACACTAAGTTTGTCCCTTTCATAAAGATATAGTAAGTATAGTATAAAGTTATCTTCTTTACTTTTTTGTTGTTGTTGGATGTTTCTAATGAAAGGGTGAATAAGTTCAATAGCATGAAAATATATTATAATATAAAATATTGAAGTATGTGCATACATGCATGCTATATCTGATCTTTTTATGCTCATTCCTATATATAGTGATAAGCAAACATTACAAATTTGAACATTTAATAATAATGTATCAAATATTTCTGAGTGAATATGATCTCCAAAATATAATATCAAATATTAATATTGTAATATACAGTATTTGTGTGTGTGCTGTATATATTTTGTGTGATTAAATATCTACTGACAGTAATTTAACAAGTTAAAAAAATTGTAACGTAATTACTATATTGTTGTTTAATGGCAAATATTACGTGAAATATAGTATTTGCCATCCAATCTCTTTTAACTGACCAATGGTCCACAATTTCACCATTTTATGTTCTTTACACACACACACACACACACACACACACACACACACACGCACTCACACATATATATCCATACATATATGAAGTTTAGCTGCAAAGACGGTTAACTCAGTTTTTATTAATTTTCTTAAATCATGTTTTTTATTCTGTTATCTTGTTTTTATTGTGTTTTATTGTGTTAGTTAGCTGTATTTTGTTTTTTGTTATTATTATTTAATCAAAACAACCCAACTGCAGTTTGATAGATATTAATTGGGATGCAGGATTTAAAAAAAACCCCATGATTTTTGAACATTTTTAAAAACAGAGTTATCTGTTTTTGCAAATTAACTGAATATATATATATATATATATATATATATATATATATACATATATTTTTTTTATATATATATATTGAGAGAGTGAACAATTCAATATCTATTAAACATTAGACAAAAATGTAAACATTTAATTGGCTATTTTAATGTAGTTTTCTAGTTGGGTTAACTCATTTAAAAGATATAACATATTTTATGTTGTACACATTTCTAAAATTTCTAAATTAAGGCTAGCTCAGAGATTGAAAGATGCTTCCCTCGTGAGTGTGCTCTGAAAGACATGCAGAGCTGCTGTTGTTCAGTCTGTGTAGAGAACCTTGAGCTTCATTATCCCAGAGTGCTCTCTGATGTTTTTCTCAAAGAAACTGAGTTGGTTTTGCAGCAGCACAAAAAGAGAGAGAAAAACACAAGAGGGTGGGCTATCGTTGCCCGCCTCTCCAACCTTAATGAAATTCCAAACTTCCTCTCATCCTCCCTTTATTAGTGTGTGTGTGATGTAAGGAAGAACAAGTACGCACTTCTACTTTTTACACACTTTTTAACGCATTATATAGGGAGTTTTCGAGAAGCCATACTGTACATAAACATATATAAATGCAGACATATGTAGAAAACATTCACATTAGCCTAACTAAAACGTATTGTCATTGCAATCTAATATATTTCATGCATGTATTATGTACTTTGGAGGAAGTTTTATATTTCTAAAACACCCAGACGCCGTTACAATGTTTTCATCTGAACATCACTGCTTAATTCATCAACAATTTAACACCCATTACCTGCCAAAAGCAGCGTGTTAAGCCGCAGCTGCGCGCATTTTCCGGCGGATTTGCGAGCGCGTAATGGAAATTACGCACTTTGAGGAAAAACGGAACCATTTGTAATCGTTACAACAAAAGACTGCGCTCAACCTGGCTGACCAGTGGAGCTGTACACTCATCCTGTAATTGCAGGCTTCCCCGAAGAACTTCAATGCTTTGGCCAAGCCACAAATGAGAGGTTTAAACACTTCCAACATCAAACAAAGAAGGTCTACAAGAGCTCCCATCAAGACTGTCAAAGGAGTCTGTGTCATTTTTAACATGCTGAAGCCTCTGACTGTCATGGCTCATGATCTATCAGAGGAATGCCCAGCGCTGATTTCCTGAGAAAGGGAAAGTGTGAACAATGCATCTTTAATCCTCTGCCAGTCTCATTCCAGGCGCGCGCGCGTGTGTGTGTGTGTGTGATTCACTGTACTCAGATAACAGCCACAATGAACCGATGTGAAGAAGGGAAAGGAAATGTTTTTACTCATGTTCTTACATGTAATGTAACAAATAAGTCAACAACAGAAACATCCACTATGTATTAATATCATAAATGTCCTTATAATAAAATAAATAAAATAGCATGCAGAGCAAATAAAAAAAATCATTATTTATTATTATAGTGGTCATTAAGCATTATTTATTGATTAAAGCATAATTTATATTTCCTGAATTAAAACGGAAAAACGCTTACAATAAAACCGTGCTGGTGAGATTACAGAGAAACTGTGTCACTGGCGCCACCAGCTGATTAGAGTATTACATCACACATTTTTTACAATCTACATATAGAAACATTAGCAAAAAAAATAAACATTGAGACCCAGCTTAAATAATATCTAAATAAAAATCATAGTAAATAAATAAATTATATTTGATCTAACCTTACGTTACTTAAATTATTCATTTACTTTTTGTGTGTGTGTGAAACAATGTACACTGAAAACTATTTGGTGTAGGATTTAATTTAAATAATTATAACTCAAAAATTGTTAGTAAATTTCACAAATAATTAAAAAGAAATGACAGCCTACATTAAATTAAACATTACATTTCGATGTACAAAGAAATAAATAGTATTTTTATTTTCCAATAATGAACTCCAATAATGTTTTTTTTGTACTGCTTCAAAAAATATGTTTCTGCAAGTGTTATTTTTGCATCATTGAGAAGATTTTGAATTAGTTTTTTTTTGTATTATCCATTTTAATTTAAATTTTAGTTAGCTTTAGTAATTTTGTTGTGCGTTTTTGTCATTTTAATTTGTTAATGTAAGCTTTTAACGTATATATATATATATATATATATATATATATATATATATATATATAATTATTATTTTTTTTTTTACATTTTTAAATTAAATTGGTTATTTTACATACAAGAAGTTAAACTAAATGAAACAAAAAATTTTGCCATGGCAACTAGCTGAAATAAAATATATTTTAAA